CAGAGGGGGGAAGCAGGCACGGCGGCCGCCTCAGGTCCTCGGCCTTCAGGCTCCTGGGCCGCCCAGGCCCTGGCAGAGCTGCTGCTGTGCCCGCGGCAGAGCCGCCGCCCTCAGTGACCGCCCTCTCTCCTCTCTGTCCCAGGGCACAGCGTGGATCCTGGCCTGGCCGGTCTGCTGGGGCGACGGGCACCGCGCTCCAAACAGCCCTTCATGGTCACGTTTTTCAGGGCGAGCCCCAGCCCCATCCGGGCCCCTCGGGCGGTGAGGCCCCTGAGGAGGCGGCTGCTGAAGAAGACCAACGAGCTGCCGCAGCCCAACAGGCTCCCGGGGATCTTTGGTGAGGCCGGGCGGCCGGGGCCCGAGGCTGTAGGCCGAGGATCAGTGGTGGTGGCAGAACCTTCTGGCCCTCACACAAGGGGTCACCAGTGGTCACCCTCCAGCCACCCTCCTGACACCCTCCCTTGCCCCGCGCCCCCTGTGGACCGGCCATGCACTGTCTCTCAGGCCTCCCCCAGCTCCCCAGGCCCCCCATGACGCCTCTGTCAGAATCAGGTGCCCTTCCTCCAGGCAGCACCGCCCCTGTGCCCGCGGCTCTCCCTCAGGCACCTTCGGGATTCACAATTGTTTAGGAAAAGTTCTCCCCACCAGGCGAGACCCTCAGAATCGGGGGATGGGCCTCAACATGAGCCATGTGACCTGTGCAGGGGTGTGGCAGGACGGGTGGGGTGCAGGCAGGTGTCTCAGGAGGGAAGGTGGAGCTGCCACCACCTGGTGGCAGAAAGGTCCCTGGGCTGTTATGGAGCATCAGGGGGCCCACAGGCTGGGCGGGAGGCTGGGCGGAGTGTGGCTTCCTCTGGAGCCACTGGGAACCATCGAAGGCTCTTGAGCTGGTCCGACACCAGCAGAGCAGCAGGGATGGGCTTTGAGGGACCCAATGGCTTGGTTTTCCATCGTTCACTTATCCCACAAACGAGCCCATGAGGGCGTCCGCCGTGGGCGCGGCACAGAGCAGGGCCCCAGGAATGACCTCGCACGTCTGTCCCCGCAGATGGCGCCCACGGCTCTCACGGTCGGCAGGTGTGCCGTCGGCACGAGCTCTATGTCAGCTTCCAGGACCTCGGCTGGCTGGTAATTTCTCCTCTCCCTTCTCTCCTAAATGACGACCCCCTGAAGTTCAGGTGTCTCTCCAAGAGCGGATAGACTTGGGGGATTATTTTTCCTCATATTATTTTCTTCTGAATTTTCCAAGTTTTCTAAAAGGAGAATGTGTTACTTTGGCTTTTTGGTAAAAACTGAAAATGGAGAGAGTCTGCATCCTGAGCCATAAAATGTCAGCGCTACAAAGGGAGCCTGAGGCCGGGTGGCCGCACCTCTGAGCCTTTGCAGTGACAGCAGCTGCAGGAGATGCGGGGGCGGGGCAGCGGGAGGATCACCCCGAGGACCACAGGGCTTGTTTCCAGTCCTGTCTGC